TTGAAACAACCGACAAGCCGCTAAATTGCCTCCAGTATCAAATCGTTCTGGAAGAAGTGCGCTTTCCGCAGAAATGGAGTTTGGTACTTTTTGGTAGGTAGGCGACAAAGTCCTGGAAAAATCAAACCGAAGACTCGGTAACAAACTCACGTCGTTGTGAGAGGAGAGAACCATTGAAGCAGACCTGGGGACCACGGTCCTCATTAAGGGGAGGGTGGTCCACAAAGACAACCTTAATTAACACCATAAGGCTATGCGTCTTTTATAGTTATAGTTTTTAGCCACTTGGCATTAGTTATAAGCTCAAGTTATTTTAAGTGATTTCTTCTGGAGGTGGGAAGCCTCAACATCAGCATAATCTAAAAAGAATTCAAATTTACAGTTTCGAACTAATAGTTTTCCTTTTACATACTAACATTGGCGTCGGCGCACATCACTGACTTTTCACAAGCGAAGTACATTCCTGTTGTGGAGGATCCGCATCCTAGTATTAGAAAAGTTCGCGAAGTTAGTTGCTTGCTATTGCCTTAGCTAAAATCAAAATCGTCAGCCCCAATATATAAGAGCACGCAGATTTAGAGTCAATTTGGCTGGAGGAGTACACCCGGACCCCCATAAAGGATCTTATGCCATCCATGCCAGTCTGTATGGCCTGGCTCGCTTGTTGAATATTGTTTTGGTTTTGTTGTTGTTGTTGGCTTTGCTGCCATTGCTGTAGTGGTTGCTGTTACTTTTGGTGCGATTGCAGAAGTTTTAAGGCTGCATGTTGTTGGTGCGCTAAGGGTCCAATCTAATGGTGTGGTTTTTTTTTGCGCGGTGTGCCACGGCCCACATACCTGCCCAACCGACCGGGGGCGCAGCCGTGTATCGTACGGCACGATTCGCCAGAAGATAGACGCGAGATAAGAAAATATAGGTAAAAGTCCCTGGAAAAAAGTAATTTGTGAAGCTAGAATTAATCGGTTTAGGAGCGTAAACCGTATTGACACCGAGAAATGATAGTACTACAAAGGTGATGCAAATGAGTAATATTTAAGCTTAGGAATAGCTGACAACTTAGAAATACCTCTATAGTTACCGGCTTCTAACGGCGAATAAACAGAAGATCCAAAAGAAGAGAGCTTTCTGTTAAAGTGGGACAGAATATGAAGTTTGACTTGGAAATGGTGTAAGAATAATGCTGTGATGAATAATCTAAAGTAAGTCGTTTGAAAAAATTGGGCAAATAAATCGGCTATTTCCTGATCTGTGGTTGTCGTCATGTTTTCGAACGACAGCGAGGAAGGAAAAGAATTAGATTTACGCTTGGTTTTAACGAAATTATAAAACTGTTTCGGGTCCTGAGAGAACTGGACCTACGGTTTAAATAACTATTATAACACTGATTAAGCACGGTAAGTCTTGACCGAGCACTTAAATATCTAGTAAAAACAGATTCAGAACCGGTATTTTTATATTTCCTAAAAAGTCTGGACTGTACGGATAGTACCACGGAGCACAGGAATTAAAAACTGAGTTTAGGTTAGGTTAGGTTAGGACGGATGCCAGACTATAGCCTGGCACACTTAGACCTCTGTGGGTCCATTGTGATACCGTATGATCTCTATTTTTGGATCCCCTATCCGTTAAGAGTCAGCCTGTAGGTTGGTCGTTCAGCAAGTCCCCCATCCGGAGGTTAATCTGCGATATTTCGGTCAGGTCATTTATGAAAGGATTTCCTAAGTGTTTCAGTCTAAGTCTGCATAGGGCTGGGCATGAACAGAGTAGGTGTTCCACCGTTTCCTCTTCTTCCTCATACCTGCAGCTTCTACAAAAATCACTTTTTGGGGCTTTATCCTGCCGGCGTGTGCGCCAACGAGCCAGTGGCCTGTGAGTACTCGAATTAGCATGCCGCACTCAGTGCGGCTGAAATTGAGTAGTTCTGATGTTTTCTTATTGTTTATTGCAGGCCATGTCTGGTGGGAGATTCGGCATTGCGGTGTTTTTTGCCAATGAGTGTTGGCTAATTTGCTGAAATGGTTCTTAATAATTAGCTTGCAAGTAGCCATAGGCATGCCGACATTCTCCTTTCCTGGAAGGAGAGGTATGGTGACCCGGAACCCATATAAGGCTGACAGTAAACTGACTAGCCATCTCGTGGAGAGATTTGCGACAGTCTGCTATTGTTCGGGAGTTTGTATTTGTCGAGTAGAATGATTTAATAGCCGCTTGGCTATCACTATATATGTTTATGTGTCTGTTCTGGGTGTTTAAGTCCCTTAAACAGACAAGTGCTTCCATTATAGCATACACTTCCGCTTGGAAGACACTGCAGTGGTCAGGAAGTCTGAAAGACCGCCTGATCTCTAATTGCTCGGAGTATATGCCTCCACCTACGTGTCCGTCTAGTTTGAAGCCGTCTGTATATAAACAGATTGCGTCTATTGAGCCCGGTCGGCCCCGATCCCATGCTTCCCTGCCTGGGATCAGGGCTTCGAAGGGCGTGTGACTGTATTCACGGGTTTTACATAGATCCGTTTTTGGCGGGATCAATTTGTCATGCTGAAGAATCTTAGCGTGTCCATACAGTTGGGCTTTCCATTGCGCCGTATCCCTTAGTCGAATGGCTGCCGATTTCGCCCTTTCCATGCCTGCTAAGTCCAGGCTCTGGAGGTTCAAGATCGCATTCAGCGCTTCGTTTGGGGTAGTTCGAAGGGCTCCACTAATACACAAAGCCGCCATGCGCTGTACTTTGTTAAGGGGAGTTAAGATACATTGTTTGTGTAAAGCGGTCCACCACAGAGCCACTCCATATAGTAGGACTACTATACTGGCTTGACTACCGCTGTGTATATCCAATTGACGATTTTAGGGGACATACCCCATCTTAGCCCGATTGCTTTTTTACAAGAGTAAAGTGCAATGATCGCTTTCTTGGTTCTCTCTTGGTTGTTTAAGCCCCATTAAAGACGCTTATCTAATACTAACCCCAAGTATCTTGCGTGCTCGCTAAAAGAGAGATTACAGTTGTTTAAAGTGGGTGGGTTAAGTTTGGGATTTTGTATCTATTTGTAAAAAGGACTAGTTCCGTTTTTGAGGGATTTACCCGAAGTCCGTTCTTTGTAGTCCATTCCGATAGTGTTTTTAGTTTTGCGGTCATAAGATCTCATAACGTTTGTGGATACTTACTTAAAGATGATAGCGACATCGTCTGCGTATGCCACTATTTTACAGCCTCCTCCTTCAAGAATCCGCAGTAGTTTATTTACCGCGATATTCCATAAGAGGGGTGATAGTACACCTCCTTGCGGAGTGCCTCTGTTCACTAATCTAGTCTGGGTCGAGGTCCCTAGTGTGGCCGTGACCAGTCTGCTTATCAGCAATTTGTGGATCATCCCCACCAGCGGTGGCTCAACCCCTAGTTCAGTGAGGGATTCTGTTATTGCCGTGGGAAGCACGTTGTTGAAAGCTCCTTCTATGTCAAGGAAGGCGATCAAGGTGTATTCTTGTATACTGAGTGATTTCTCAATGTTGCTTACTACCAAGTGTAGCGCCGATTCGGTCGACTTACCTTTGGTGTATGCGTGTTGCGCCTCTGATATCTGCGTCGGGTCAATGATGTCTCTAATGTGTAGACCTATCAGTCTTTCTAGGATTTTTAGCAGGAATGATGTCAGACTTATCGGTCTGAAATCCTTCGCTGTAGTATGGGTGGCCTTCCCTGCCTTAGGGATGAAAACGACTTTCGTTTCCCGCCATGCTATAGGTAGTTCTCCTACTGCAAGAATGGTCTGGAAGATTTTTCTCAGCCAGTTTATAGCTAGTTCTCCTGCTTGTTGAATATGTGCCGGTGTTATATTGTCCGGTCCCGCCGATTTGTATAGTTTAAAACTATGAATGGACCAGTTTATATTACGGTCTGATAGTAGGAGATTTAAGTTTATTCCTTCTCCAGTGTGTCTTCCTGGGGGATGTCCTGTTTGCAGGCTCCCTGGGAAGTGAGCCTCTAGGAGTAGGTTTAGGGATTCTTCACTAGAGTCCGACCATGATCCGTCAGCCTTTTGGAGATAGCCCAAGGATACGGCTGTCTTAGAAAGTATTTTTCTGAGCCTTGCGGCATCAGTTGTCTTTTCAATATCCGAGCAGAAGTTCTTCTCTTCTCTTTTCTGATGGCCTTTTTGTATGTGGCAGGAACTAGCCACATACAAAAAGGTAGCTTTTGCCAGTTTGTAGCTTTGCCAGTTTATGTCCTCATTTGTAGCTTTCGCTCTGTTGAACAGGTTTCTGCATTTGGCTCTGAGGATTGATAATTGCTGGGTCCACCAAGGAGGTTTTTTCTTTCCTCTTGGTTTCCCTAACGGGCATGCAGCTGTGAATGCCGCGTTGCATGCTTCTGTGAATTTGTTTACTATATTATCTAGCTCCTGAGTGCAAAGAGTGCTTTCTGGTGGCTCCCTGGGGAGGAAGCTCGATAGAATTTCTTTGTATTTATTCCAGCTTGCCCGCCTGGGGTTGGCAAAGCTGACCGGCGCATGTGACACTAGGGTCAAAGTTGTCTCTATAAACCTGTGATCTGAAAATGAGTGCTCGTCGGAGACAGCCCAGTTTGTGACTGTGCTTATGAGTGAGTCTGATGCCAGGCCGCTTTGCAGCTCCAGGCTTATTGCTGTGTTGTCTCCGTTGCTGTAGTTGCGAAGCAGAAATGTACTAAGATGCCGTTTGGCTAAAATGCAGGTTCGAATTTTACCTTGTTTGGAGTCAAGCATAAGCTTGTAATCTATTGTTCCTAGTCCAGCAACACTGCCTCCTGCTACCCAGGGTTCCTGAACTAAGACCACGTCGGCTTCGCTTTTGGCCAGGCGAAGCCAAAGAGCAGCGGACGCTGCTTTACTGTGATGTAGGTTGATCTGCAGGAGTCTTAGCGACATCCCCAGCTCCAACCTCCACCACAGTAACGTCGGCCTCCGAATCGCTCAGGTCCACTTCATCGATTGCCGTTCCGAGCGCTCGCATCTCTCTGCTCAGCGACGAGTCGGTTGAGTAGCCGTCCTCCGGCACACCGGGGCCTCCACTTCCTCCGCAAGCACCTGCTCAGCTGGGTTGCCGGCAGGACTTCCCGAGGAATTAGAGTCCCCTTTGTAAATCTTTATATGTATGGCACTGAAACCATAGTTGAGCGTTCCCCGAGCAGCCTCTATGGGAGCGACCGACTCCTTATTCAGCACCACGATCGCTTGGTTCACGTCACCTGCGTGCTCCTCCACCTTAACGACTTTCCAGTCTTTTGTGGGGAGATGTGGGTTGCATTCTTGCAACATATAAAGGATGTCCTCCGGTGATACGATTGCTGCTGGGAGCCAAATTCTGGCTCGTGGTCTACTGGGGACGTCACACCAATCTAGTGCGACTATGTTCGCCCCTTCGTAAACTGCTCCGAGCAGTGCTACCGCCTGTTTGTATAGGTCAGCTGATCGCTGATTATCGCAGGCCACCACTTTTACACTGCCCGCGTCCATACAGCAAGGCGATGAACCGGGCTTCTCGCGTACCATACGCAGGCAAATAAGAGACAGCTTGGACTCAACCGCCTTCTATTTATTTCTGGGGATCCTGTTCTCCGGATTTCCCCTGTCTTTAAGTCCAAGTAGGACCCGATCTTTGGTAATCTCGGCAAAGGAGACCGACGGCTGGATCTTCGATCTCTTCGCCGACGGACCGGACAGCTCTATGGAGCGTTGCCTCTTCGCCTGAGCACCTTCTTGCTGGGGCTTCTCTTGCCCATAGATAGGAAACACCGTCCTTGCCCACTCTACCTTCTTTAGCCATACGGGCGAAGGCGTGGCGACATTGCTTCTGGCATGCGAGCGCAGGGTTTGGGCGGCAGTCCGTCTCTCTGCGTATGTGAACTTCTTTACACCAGCGGGTGACCCGATCGACTTTGCTGCGCCTACCGCTGGTTTTGGCGCAGATGCGCACATAGCGGAGGCGTTAGCGACAGTCTTTCTGTCCCCCGACATCCCTAGTTTGGGATGGGGCCCTTTCTGAGCCCTACTGGTGCTTGCATCATCTTTGCAGCGCCGGGTTTTTGTGGAGTTCCCGTCTCCGTTTTCTTATTTGTACTTTTATTTATTGTTTCCATAAGGGAAAGGTCCGCCCGGGCAGAGATCCGCGGTACCCGGGTAAGGCGGTAGATAGAACAGGGGGTCGCCATCTCCCTGAGCCCACCGTTTGAGACTGAGCTAGTTGTTGATCCGGGCCCCCAGCCAGGCTGACTCTTGGTACGGTCCGAATTACACCGTAGTCCGGCCCGGAGTGAGATGTTGTTTGGGAGAGGAAGTGGGTAGGTGGTGTGTGGGGGATATTGGGCTTGTGTAAAGCAACTGTTTAGATGCGGCTGAACAAATCGCATCGTCGGTACTGCCTCGTTGCAAGATACCCGCTGGTTGTCCGGGACTGCTTATTTGCTGGGGTTTCCGTCCACGATTCCGTGTTTGACTTCCACCGCCAGCTTATTCGCAGTTGGCCTCGAGTGAGGTCGTCCGCTCTCCGCAACCTGCGACCCGCTCGGTCGCCCCAGCTAGGCGGCTTCAGAACCATCTCACAAGTTCCTCAGACCGAGTAAAAAATAAGCAATAAAATCATGCTGTGCTATAGGTCGATCCATTCTCAGTGGACCAAGTCACTCCAGGTATATTTAAATCACCTAGAACTACCAACTGATCCCTATCGGAAAGCTTATTTGCAAACGACTTAATAACAGAAAGGTGATTTAAATAATCAGGAAGTTCAAACAACGGCGGAATATATGAGTAAGTTATGTATATAGAGCTGCCAGGAACCGATAACTTTACACAAATAAATTCAATGGTATTGAATTTCTCAAAATATAACTCCCCTGACGGGAGGTTCATATCAACTCCAATTAAGACTCCACCTCCCCGTCTAGAGAGACGGTCATACCTATATATTGTGTACTTACCTGGAAAAACTTCGGAGCTAAAGATCTCCGGCCTTAATCAGGTTTCTGTAAACTCAATAACATGAGATGCAAAGGAAAGGCTATCGGAATACAATTTAGTGAGCTTGCTACGCAAGCGTCTTGCATTCTAAAAGGAAAGAAGGAGGTTAGAAGTCAGTTTTTGAAATTGGTACACTGCTTTGGCCTCGACTAGGAATTTTGACTCCCACTGGCCCCTTCTTCTTTATCTAAGCCTCGAACTCTTTTACAACCATATTATCCGGCCAAAATTCGAGCGAACATATGGCTTCAAAAAACTCGTAAGGGACAGTTATCTTGAAAGCTGAAATGTCTCGCATAGGAAAACTTAAACTTTTCCACCTTAACACTATTACAATTGGCTTCAGTTTTGTCTTATATATAAGACCAACTTGAGCCGGACTCAGTAGTCCCTTGTGGTGTTGAAGCTACATTTTGAGAGATAGGTGGATCCACTTATTTTGAAACGTGTTTTGCACTTCGCTTTCGCGCTTAGAGATATACGAGAAGTAACCCTTCTATTCGTCTCATGGAGCTCTTGCGCTCTTACTATTTTTTTGTGTTTTATTGTCTTTTCAGTTCAGTTTTTATATTTTATTTGTGTATAAGACATCCACATTCTTCAACATTTTCCGGAACTCGCGCCAATCACGTTCGCTTTCTTCGGCTGCACTTAAGGTCTTGGCTGAATCTTCGAGTGGAAAGCAATCGAGCTACAAACTTCAAGATACATTATTTATGAATATAATTGTCAAATGGCAGAGCTCAGAGCAATAACAAGGAATTAAATATTCTTACTATGTTTAAGGGGAGGGTATACCCTTGTTTCTCGCTGATGTAGGAAATTTATAATTAAAACTTATTTAAAAGAAGGCTCTCATAAAAGAAGAAAGACCTGTCCTACCAAATTTTCTTATGAGTTGTTTCGGTTTTAAATTTTCTATAGTTTTTTGGCTTTTCGTTCATTTTTGAGCTTCAGCGAGCTTTTTATGGTATTAATTTATTTATTTTTTTTTTTTAATTTAACTTTACTTTTATTTATTGAATCTTCTCTTAATTTTGAGACTAACAATAAGTTTACGAATCTTAACATTAAAATTTAACTAACAGTATAATAAGACTGCATTTTGGTTGCGCGTGCCTCAAGTCGGTCGCTGGGTGGGTAAGTCATTGCGACGAAGGCGTGATTGGTTGATCAACCTTGTAAGACCTCTCGCCAGGTGGTTAGGGTGCAACGATAGCTTGGTAAAGTACTTTTCCTTCTGTTCTGCGATCACTTCTTTGACTGGTAGAATGTTTAAGTCGCGATGAATGTTTTCGTTGCGAATGTATCACGGTGCCCCGGTGATTGTTCTCAAGATCTTCGACTGAGCTCGCTGGACTATGTCAATATTGCTATTGCTGGCATTCCCCCATAACTGAGAGCCGTACATCCATATAGGTTTTAGTACCGAGTTATTCAGCAGGACTTTATATTCAAGACTAAGGGGAGACCGAGCGTTGATAAGCCAATGAAGGCTACAGGCTTTTAGCTTTAGGTGTGTTCTTTTGGCTTCAATGTGCCGGCGCCATGTGAGTCTTCTGTCGAGGTGTACTCCTAGATATGTCACTTCGTTTGCTTGCGGGAGTAGAGTATGGTTTAACATGAGCGGCAGGCAGTTTTGCCTGTACAAGGTGAACGTAATGGGCTTGCATTTTTGTTCGTTCACTTTAATTCGCCAATCTGATAGCCACTTTTCAACATCGACCAGATGAAGAGCTACCTGCGCAGTTGCTTGCATCGGGAATTTTGAGCGGCTGAGAATGGCTGTATCATCAGCAAACGTAGATGTTGTTAGTCGTGTGCTTGTTGAGATGGCTGCTGTATAGAGGACATATAATGTTGGCCCAAGCACGCTTCCTTGAAGAACTCCAGCTCCAATAGTGAAATCGTCAGTTATAGCAGTGTTGCATCTCCCAGCAAATTTTCTGTCGTAGAGGTAAGACTCTAAAAGCTTATGGGTGTTATCGGGGAGCATTGTCTTGATCTTGTACATTAGACCTTCTAGCCAAACTCTATCAAATGCTTGAGAGACGTCTAAAAATATGGCAGTACAGTACTCTCGTTTTTCGAACGCGTTCCGAATTTCTGATGTTATCCGGTTGACCTGCTCAATTGTTCCGTGCTTTTCACGAAACCCAAATTGATGTGACGGAATTCCTTCCTGGATTCTTAGGTATGTATTTATCCGAGTCAATACGCACTTTTTAAAGAGTTTTGATAAGCATGAAAGTAGGCTTATAGGTCTATACGACGTGGGAATTGTGTGGTCTTTTCCCGGCTTTGCTATCATTATTATAATCGACTTTTTCCATCTCACTGGAAAGTGGCCAAGCTTTGCGATGGCATTAAAAAGCTGGGTGATAGTGCAAATTGCGCAATATGGGAGCTCAATGATCATTTTGGGAGTTATGAGGTCGCAGCCCGGGGATTTTTTCGGATTCAGCTGATTTTTGATGATGTTAACGATTTCGTTTGGGCGAAACTCAATTCATGTTGAAGCTGAGGCTCATATAGTAAAGTCGGCAAGGTGAACGCACTAGTGGCAGGATTTGGTTGGAAGACATTTTGACATTTGTATTAGATGTTGACAATTGCTCTATGTAGCGTCGGTGGACATGTGCTTCTTCTTGCTGTAAAGCTTTTTTGAGTTGACGTGAGGCATATTTTAAGCTTTGCCTAGCAGATGGCGATCTGTGGAGTTACCTCTCTCGACGTAAGCGTCGCTTTTCGAGTACGAGCTCTTCTATTTGTAGATTTGTCTTCTTTTGGTTGCTTTGCGTACTTGTAGTTTGGGGTGTTGAAACTCGAGCTGCAGAGACGAGTACAGACTCCAGTATATTAACAAATATGTCTACTTTGGCTTCATCGTTGAGATGAGGACTTAGCTCAATGTGTGTACTCAATGTTTCTTGTACTTAACCCAATTAGTTTTCTGTGATGTCAATTTAAACGATTGCTCCAATGCTCCTGGATGTCGGAGTAGAATAAAAATCCGAGAGGCATTCGGCGCTTATCAGATTTTTAGGAATGTTTTTGGTAATTGCAAAGTCTATTAAATCGGGTAGTTTCCTTGGGTCTGCCGGCCAGTATGTTGGTCTGCCAGGAGAAACATAGTCCATCTTGTTATTGACTTTTATAACTGCATTAAAAAGCTGTTTTCCTTTTTGAGTCACGAGACGTGATCCCCACTGTGTGTGCTTGGCGTTGTAGTCCCCTGCGGCTATGAAGTGGTCTCCTAGTGAGTTGAAAAACTGCATAAACACATCTTCGGCTATAGTGAAGCGAGGGGGGCAGTATACGGCGGCTAGTGTAAGTTGGTTGCCAGTATTTATTTGTATATTTATAGATGTGGCCTGTAGGTAATTTTTAGCAAATTTGTTATGATAGTGGTGCTTAATACGGCTTCTGATTAGAATTCCAGTCCCACCATGTGCTTTACCATCTGGATGATTTGTTCCGTAGAATGAGTAGCCTCGTAGTTGAAAATTGTATTTGTTTGTAAGGTGTGTTTCTGAAAGCAGCATTACGTCGATATGGTTGTCGAGTAGGAATTGAGCTAACTCAAGTTTATGCTGTGAGACGACGTTAGCGTTCCACGTAGATATCCTTAGGGAAGTCATTATTTGGATTGTTGTGAAACCAGCATTTGAATCAATAGATTTTGGTTTCGCATTAAATCTTGCATAGTTGTGCGCATAAACGACATAAACTCCGTAAGGCTTTGCTGCAGGCTGTATATCATATCTTCAAAGTTGCTTTTTGACTGCTCCGGGAGTTGTTGCTGCTGAGCCGTGTTCGGTTCTTGGTATGCTGATTGCAGAAATGAACTTTTTGAGACAGGGTTAGTCCTGATTTTAAAGCGCTTGCGTAAGTTACATTTTTATCAGAATTTAAGGGTCCTAGTAAGGATCTGGCTGCAGTCGAGAAGAAGACTTCAGGGTTTGATCTGGAAGCTTTCATCTGTTTATTTTGGGTGCGGGCGGTAGTTCCTCTCTGGTGGATGCGACTTTTCAGCTCATTATAAACAGGTCAGCCTCTGTAGCTAGCAGTGTGATTGCCACCTCAGTTGCCGCACTTTTTCGAGTTGCAGTCATCTTTGCTCGCTGGGCAGTGTGCGGAGTCATGAAGATCTCCACAAACTACACACACCGGGCGCAGTTTACAGTATGACCTTGTACGGCCATATTCTTGGCAGTTCGCACATTGTACCGGGCCATTGCGTTTGTGCGGTTCCTCAACTGTAATTCTGCGGTGCAGCAGGAACTGAAGATTGTAAATGGGGTGCACTTCGTATTTCTTTAGGGGCTTATTTTCTGGTTCGAGCTCAACCTTAAAGAGTGGCTGCGGCTTTCTATCCCTGTTAAGGATGTTGAAGACTGTCTTAGCGTTATATCTCTTCTCTTGAAGCGCATTTGTTATCTCTGCAGGCGTTACGTCGGACTCTATGCCCTTAAGTACGACTTGCAGGCCCTTGCTACTTTTTAGCTGATACGTGTAAAAGTTCTTTTTATTTTCGGAAAGATATTTCGATAATACTCTGTAATTATCTTCAGACTTCATTTGAACCTTTGTTTCCTGGATGTTGCCCTTTACGAGAGGTATTATGTGGAAGTTATCCTTTCCAATAAGCTCGATAATTTTGTTGACAAGAACATTGGAACTTTTTTCTCGAATATAAATAGGCGGAGGTTTTGGCTTCCTTTTCTCGACTTCAGTGGATTCGGCCGCCTCAACGTCATAGGCGTCTTCCAAGATTTTAAATCGGTTTGAGTTCATGGGCGTTTCTATTCCAGCTAGGCTAGCATTGTTACGGGTTATTTTGCGTTGAGAATTTAGAGGGCTCAGCTTCCTTTTGATTTGGATGTAGCGATCCATACCAGTCTGCACAGCCGGCTTAGCACATTCATTGATTTTGTTCTGTTTTTCGGGCTGCGCAGCGGCAGACGTATTAATATTTGCGCTGCTAGCTGATGATGTCATTAAACGCGCAGTCGATACGGTTGCAGTTGTTGTTGTAGTTACAGTTGACGTTGTTAAAGAAATAGCGGTGCTAGTTACTGCTAATGAGTTTAGGTTATTGCATACCTGCATTGGAGCACTTTCAGCGCTCTTTGGCCGCAGAGACGGAAAACGGAATTGTTGATAAAATTCAAGGTTAGTAAAGCAAAAAAAAAATCTGAGGTAAACCAAGATATCCGAAATAAAGCTAAACCAAAACTCAATACAATAAACAAAACTATATTAGACAACAGATGTGACTTGATTGAAATAAGTGCATTAATAATTGCCACTCAATAAAGCTTAATGAGCAACGTACAAAAGAATGAGCTTAGAAACTCAGTAAGCCAAAGAAACTCTTACTTACTCTTACTTCTCACTTCCACTCCCACGTCATGGAGTTCGCAGTGTAAAACCTCCTCCTTTGGTGCGACGAATTAGGCACCAACAACTAGCAGTGCTACAAATCCCGCAACCGTAGCAAATCCAACAGCAACAACTACAGCAGCGGCCAATATCGCAATATCAACGATTACAGTGAATGCATATGAAACCAATTCTGAACGCTCTAAAGAGGCCCCGAACTCACAGCCCGAAATAGGGTAACGTTCTACGGAACGTTCTGAGTAACGCGTACCGAAAATAATGAAGAACCAGGCTGAGGAAAACAAACCTGCGCAAGATACTCTAAAGAAACCCAAGCCCCCACCAATATATATCAGGGAGAAAAACTCGAACGGCTTTGTCATCAAAATTGTTGCGCTAATCTGAAATGGAAACTACCTGGACGAGTCAAAGAAAAATTATTACCTGCAGTGGTAATCAGGGCTGTGAACCCATATTATTTTGGCATGGGTTCGGTTCGGGGTTCAAACCTAATCGACAGATAATGTTCCGGTTTGCGAACCGTTTCATTGATGAGCCGGAGCAGGGTTCAGGTTCGAACCAGGGTTCAAATAAATAATTTTTTTTTTAATGAAATAATAAAGTCAACATTTATTTCCATGTATTTTCCTTCAAATATGTACCATAACATTAAGACTTATAAGTAAAGTTACAAGATTTATGATTTATAAAGTGTTCATCAGTTGAGGTTAACTAACATAATATCTTCCAAAATATCTTCATCAATGCTACCCCTGAGATCAGATAAAACAAATTTCAAAGTGGAAAACGCCCTTTCTACTGATACCTGTGTAGCAGGTACGGCATGAACAACATAAGCTAGTTTTCTTAAGTTTTCACATCGATAGACGTCCCAAAACTTCAAAATACTATCGTCTTTCATTCTAATTCTTTCTATGCCATCGAAAGAATTAATAAAATCACAAGCTGTTTTCCTGCCTTTAATATTATAGTTAATATCATATTGAGATAATAAATTTTCATTTTCATCATCTATTGAACATGCAGAGGCTGCAGAGGCATTGAAAACGGCATCATCACCCAAGGCAAGTTGCCTTTGATATATTTCACGTAGGTGTGCCTTAGCGTCATTTTTTTGCTCTCTTAATAATACTACTTGATATCTAGGGTCAAGAAAAACGGATGATATTATAGGAACTGAATTCAATATGTGTGATCGCTTTTCTAAGCATTTTGACAATGCTACACTATATTTAGAGGACGATTTTAATGTCTTAGAGCGAAGAGAAAACCACTGGAAATAGAAGTCACTTGGCAACAAATTCAGTTTCTGAAGCTTTAAAGAGAACTCATAAAGAGGTTTCAGCAAATCACACAAATTTTTCACTGCGTCCCATTCGGTGTTTTTTAAACGAAGTTCTTTTATGTCATTTGAGCTTTTTAGACAAAATTCTTTTAATGTAAGAACTCGGTCGCACATTAAATACGTGGAATTCCACCGCGTGGCGCAGTCTAATATCGGCTTGTTTAAATTTTCTAAATGAAGCAGATTTAGAATGGTTGGAGTTCTTAGTTTTTTACATAAAGTGCGTATTTTAGATAAATCAATCTTGATTTCTTTTAAAAAATCAGAAACAACTAAATTTAAAGTGTGCGCTGCGCAACGCACTGTGGTGATTGAGTCCTGAGGTAAATCCACTTGAATTTGATCTATTTCAATTTCTGTAAAAATGCATTCGCATTCGGAGTGCTCTGCATCGAGGTCAACCTTACATAATTGGTTTAGTTTATTTCCCGCCAAAACCATATTGGCACCATTGTCCACCGTCAGCGTATATATTTGTCGGAGCGAAACTTCAAAAGACTCCAGCACTTTTTGGATAATCGTGGTTAAGTTTACGCTTGTATGCTGCACGTGTATTTCTTTCATAGCTAATGTGTAGCACCTTACTTCCGAACCATTATGAAGCTGAGCGTTTATTCCGATGATAGCACGATCCAAACGGCTTACACAATCCACTTTTATAGATATAAGTCTAAAAAAATATATAAAACAAAATGTAATATCACCAAGTAACAGGGGTTCTGTTGGACTAACCGATTTTGTAGAACATTTTTAATGTGTAAGCGAATGCTACTAGCTTTTTCCTGAATTAAGTTCCGTATGTTAAAGCGATTGATTTTCAATGGAGGGCTAAAAGCGTCACACATGGGCTTTAGAATTTTTAAAAAACCAGAATCTTCAACTATTTTTAATGGACGCCCATTTTTAGTGACTAGTTCCAAGCAAGCATCTAAAATATCAGCTTTGGTGATTTTCACTTTGACATACGCTGTTTCCAAGAATTGCTTTATAGGTGGCTGGTCGGCTGCTACTTGCTTCTTATTTGTTTCAATTTTCTGTACCAACTCCTTGTGCTTCCTTTCAATATGCCGTTTTAAATTTGAGGCATGTTTGCCTGTCATTTCGAAATCGCAAAGTTTACACTTATTTTTATTATTGTCTTCATTATAAATGAAGAAGTCGTGAACTTTTTGGTTTTCCATTGCTGCTGGTAAAAGAGCCATTTCGAAGAATTGGAACTCCCAACTGGAAATAACATCGGCGATGTAACGATACATCGATGTTTTCCAAAACTTGGGAAATATCGATGTTTACAAACATCGATGTTTCCTCTTTACCCATCAATGTTTGGCAGGAAAGAATCTTGGTAATCTTAACACATTTTTGATTAATTAAATATAAAAAACTAAAATATACGTTAAAATTAGTATAGAATTCGATGTATCGATATATCGATGTTTTTTTCTGAAACCCATCGAAACATAGATGTTATTAAGAATGCATCATATGAATAATTTTGGAGAATATAATTTACAGAGTATTCTGCAAGGGTATATCAACTTCGGCTCCGCCCGAAGTTAGCTTTCCTTTCTTGTTTTTTTGTTACATTCACACAATCGTCTTACTGGAAATACTCTATTATTAGTATACTACCATGAATTTAATCATGTAATTTTAATGTGGGCATACTGCGAAAAGTTTTGGAAGATGATAATTATATATTATTAGATTGATTGAGTTAGATGCAGGCATTGCATAGACAATATATTTGAGCATTTTTATTTCCCTTAATAAATAAACTCTATGTTAATATGATCAGAAAATCCCCCACAATGTTGAATAAAAAAACAAGAACACACAAAATCAATTTTTTTTTAACCTAACCGAATATCAAAAAAAAAAGTTCCGGTTCGGCTCCGGTTCAATTATAAAAAACTTCGGCGCTCCGGTTTACGGTTCGGTTCGTTTTCTAAAAAATGTGAACCACTCCGGTTCGGAGTGGTTCAGCTCCGGAGTGGTTCACAGCCCTGGTGGTAATAAAGGGAAGCACCGAAATAGCAAATGTCCTAAACGAAAGGGATTTTACCGTAAAGAATGTTATTAACATTCTCAACAAAAACAAAAAGTGCACCCGATCTATAAGCTGCAATATCTATTGCACCAACGATAGTGCCTAAGGATTTAGGTACTTAGCGCTATTTGTAAGTCTGAACTGCTGGAAATTTCCTTATATTGCAGGCATAACTTAACGTCATCTGCAGGCATAACTTAACGTCATCTTAACGTCATAACTTAACGTCATCTCTACATAAGGACACGCGACTTTGTCAAGACTATAGGGAGATCGTTTATAAAGAAAGTAAATAGAAGTGGGCCAAGGTGGATTCCTTGTGGGACGCCTGAAGTAACTCGGATCAAATAAGAGATACAGCTTTTAAAGAGTACTCGTTGAGTCATACCACTTAGATAACTTAAGATCCATGTTAGAAGATCACATGGAAACCCTAATAAGTCTAGCTTTATGCTCGTATGTGATCTAGTCACCATCCGCTTCAAAAATGGCTCGAGTTCATTCCGTTTCAGCAGCATATCGCAGGCGTTGATTCTGTCCACCAGGTTTTTTTGCGTCAAATCATGCGGCACCCAAACATCCAGCTTTTTTTTGTATCCAGCCTTCTGCAGATGGCTTAAAACGGTTTGGTGACTAACTCTGTAAGGATGTTTTCCCAGCCAGGATATGATCAGGGGTTAGCTAGGGCCTCCACAAAATATTTATAAATTTACAGTGGACGATGTGGGTTAATCGAGTGAGTTTTTAGGCGTGGTTCTTATAATTAGGAGAAGAAACCGCGACAAAAGGTACGTGGCTGTACCTAAGACTGGCTACTGAGCCCGGGCAGACCCTGGACTTAGTAAACAGTTATCGTAGGAACCTATGTCAGGGCTGATAGGCTTTATCGGTGGCTACCATAAATTTGGTCGAGGCAGGGTTTGGTTACAGTAAAACTTGGGTAGCCCCCTTGGATTTTTAATAATTACTACGATGTAATTCGGGCAGACTCAGGTTTTTAATAAGTACTATGATAAAACTCGGGCGGACCCAGGGCTTTAATAATAACTACGGTGAAACTCGGGCGGACCCAGGGCTTTAATAATAACTACAGTAAAACTCGGGCGGGCCCAGGGCTTTAATAACAATTACGGTAAAACTCGGGCAGACCCAGGGCTTTAATAATAACTACGGTAAAACTCGGGCGGACCCAGGGCTTTAATAATAACTACGGTAAAACTCGGGCGGATCCAGGGTTTTAATAATAACTATGGTAAAACTCGGGCGGACCCAGGGTTTTATTAACAACTACGATACCACTCTATTAACGGCCGATATGTTAGTTGATTATGCGTCGGGGTCACGGTTCTGTTGAGTTAGATCGATTCTCAGGTTAGGGTTATTATCACTTGTTATAGTTAATTTATTTATTCAGCGGGCCTGATTTAGACGGGTCAAAGGTCAGGGAAAAAAGAATACGCACTCGTTGTCGAAATTATAATTCATTAATTTGTTTGTCTTTATTGACTGTTGGCTTCTTTCGCCTTTTCGTCTTGTTCACATTAATTCACCAATCTTCGTCCTACAATTTTACGATCTAATCGCGTTTCTCGCTGCACCAGTTAAATTCTGCACGACTGTACCGTTTCGCTTACCGACTAAAAAAAACCCACGCGTTCTGCCTGATGGCGACTTATCTCGTTTTCCAGTACGACTATCCGGCTCCGATGTTCGCGTGTCAGTCCCTTGCGTTCTTTTTTAATTTTTGTTCTCGTGCCCTTGGCCTCTCAGATCTCACCATCTTCTTACCACGCAGTCGCAGTGGTGAAGTTCGATTTCGCGACTCCCTTTCTCCTTTTGGCAACAGCAACTACTCTGCTCTGCCCAGCTCGCTTTTCGATATTCCCTCTCGCTCTCCGTTGTCGTCGACCGCGCAGTCGCTGAGGTGGGCTTTGCACTCCGTTCAGGTCGTTCAATTTACTCCTCTCTCATGCTCTTTTTGGGGTGAATTCCTTAGGCAACTGCGTAGGAGTTGTTCCCGGTTTCGCCTCTCTTCCCCGCTCTCCTCTCTTCCCCGCTCCCACCTCTCTTTTCCACTTATTAAATAATGTACTTATGTTTGTTTTTGCCTAGGCTTATTGTGCTAATTATTAATTCATTGTTTTTCTCTTAAAGCTAAAGAATCAAAGGAATAACAATAATATTAATAATAAAAATACGCATATTTCCTCTTCCCCTCCGTGGGGATCGGGAATAATTGTGGCGGCATCGGAATCGCCGTCACACCCCCCCTACTTGGGGGTGGACGAAGGACTACGGTCAGAGCCGTTTTCCCTTCAGCATCGACATTCCGTGTCACTCGATACACGCCTCCGTCGATTTCCTGTACGTCGAGGGGGGGGTGGTCTTCTCCGTTGCCCAGTGTGGGTTATATTCGTACCAGGGCACGTAGTGGGGTGACGCATGCTGGGAAGACGCGTAGCGTGGGGACGCATACCGGGGGATGCGTACCGTGGAGACGCGTACCAGGGAGATACGTGCCGTGGAGACGCGTACCGTGGGGACGTGCACCGGGGGATGTACTACCAATGAAGGTGCCCCGGGTTGACTCGTCTGGTAGCTCGCTCGAGTACGATAGGTTGTCCCTTTCTGCTCCCGTCACCGCCTCCTCGTCGCTATCTTCCGTGTCCGCCAGGATGAGGTCGACAGGAACTTCTTCAGGTTCGAAACCACCGTCGTCCATCTCGCCATCTTCGCCGGTCCACTCTTGAGTGGAGTCTGACTCTCCTTCTTCCATAGTATCTGTAGTGGGTAGATAACTTACTTTATATAACTGACCCTAAGATTTCCCTGCCTACTGGTGCAGCTTACAATAAACGCCTTATATCTAATTACAATCTTAAGATACTTGATGTTAGTTAATGATACCTTACGTTACTTCTTTGCCCTCCCCTGTTTCATCGTCCCGGAATTCTCTCAGCTCTGCAATGTTGGCCACTTTCTTTTTACGTTCCCCGGGCCTCTGGATCCGTACGATGTTCGGCGATATAACCTTAAGTACCCGGAATGGGCCGTCGTATTTCGGCGCCAATTTCGCCGCGAAGCCGTCGACTCCTCTGGACAGTTGGTGCTGTTTTACTAACACGAGCGAGCCCAAGGCGGGGCGCCATTCACGTCTTCTCAGGTTATAGTGGCCCATCTGGTCGGCACTCGCCCGCTCCGCATTAATTTTTACAACCTCGAATATTTTGATCGTGAAATCTTCTGGGGTGTTCCCGTTCCCTCGTGTCTTCTCCTCGTATAGCGACTTGGGCATCCTTGGTTCTCGACCTTGCATCAGGAAAATGGGGCTGAAGTTTGTAGTATCGGAGATACTAGAGTTGACTGCCAGTGTCATCTCCGGCAGAAGGTTGTCCCAGCTTGATTGGTTTTGACAGTGCGGTTTGCACGCTCCGTAGGATTCTCGTGTGGCGAGTAGGGCGCCGTATATTGTAACTCACATCCTAGTTCCCGCATATATTCTTTGAAGGCGCGGCTTGTAAACTGCGTGCCGTTGTCACACACGAACGTGCGTGGGACCCCGAAGTGTCCAAGAATACGTTCAGTTCCTTCAGAGAGGTAGGTGGTCGTAACTCCCTTACTGCTGCTACTTTATCGGGGTCCGTATGAATACCATCTTCGCTTACCATGTGGCCCAGGTACTTGAGCTTTCTTTTAAAAAATGAGCATTTCTCCCTGTTAATGCGTAGATTAGCAGCCCTGAGTCTCCGAAATACCTCTCGTAGGTTTCGTGTATGTTCTGCTAAGTCTCTCCCAATTACAACGATGTCATCCAAATACGCAAACGCGAACGGATCTAGTTCGAGCCCGATGACACTATCTAGGGCGCGTTGGAAAGTGGCAGCTGCGGAGTGTAACCCGAACGGCATGACACGCCACTGGAAGAGACCCCGACCCGGGACTGTGAATGCAGTGTACTGTTTACTGTCTGATGCCATAGGTATTTGCCAGTAGCCGCTTTTCAGATCTAATGTCGACAAGACTCGGGCCTGGCTTAGTCTCTCTAGGATATAGTTAATACGAGGTGTCGGATACGCGTCTGGTATTGACCTCGCGTTTAATTGTCGAAAGTCGACACACATCCGCCACTCGTCGTTCTTTTTTACGCACTAAGACGATGGGTGCACTATATGGGCTTTTGGACGGTTCTATCTGTCCTGCGGTTAA